AAAAATACAAAAATTAGTTTGGCGTGTTGGCGGGTGCCTATAGTCCCAGCTACTCAGGAGGCTGAGGCAGGAGACTCATTTGCACCAAGGAGGCGGAGGTTCCAGTTATCCAATATCACACCACTGCACTCCAGCCTGGGTGACAGAGCGAAAATTTGTCTCAAGAAAAAAAAGTTGAGTTCTTGCAATTCATGAAGCTTATTTCCTCTCCAGCCTTTCATACATGCCTTCTTTAACCTGGCTAACGCCTACTCATCCTCTCTCAAGTATGTGGGGCCAGCATCATTATTTGTATGGTAGTGGGGTGCTTCCCAGATGGCAAATTGAAATGTCGTTGTCAGTTGATAAATAGCTGTATTTTGTCTTTATTTTCTAGCTCAAAATTTTTTAGGATTTTTACTTTCTCATAGTAAAAAACTGTCAAGAGTCCTGAAATAAAGTCAACAAGAGTGGAGCAACAAATAAGACCTTAATTTCCTGCTAGCAGGAGGATTAATCTGAAAGTGAGATTGTCCTGTCTTCTGTGATTTGGCAGAGGTTTTATCTGTTGCAGGCATTTAGACTGGTCACAAGAAAGAAAAGGAAGAAGGAAATGGGAATGTAATACATAAGGCAATGCAACTATTCCATTATCAGTTTCAGAAGCAGATGTCCTACTGATAAGCCAGGGCAGAAAAGTATATACTGCAGTTTAGAGTCAGCAAGGAAAACAAGAAACTTAAACAAGTCCAGGAAATTACATTCATCGTTTTGAGTTTAGCAGGAGAACGTGGTCTTGTAATTCTTGCCGTAGGGGGTGTGAAAAAGACATTCACCACTTATGTAACCATAATGCTAAGCACCATGATGTGTCATCTGGGTTACAGCATTTATTTCTAGCACTGGCACAGAGCAAAGCTGAAACAAAGCTCTCCCCCAGGACTTTTTTGGGAGCTCTAAGGAACGAGGACCTCTCTTTTCACTGAAACCAGTTTGCTGTGAGCTTATGTAATTTCTGCCAAGTTGTCGGGAAAGCATACTTGAGAATGAAGCTAATACAGATGAAAGAAGAGCTGGACATTGTAGAGTGTCCTGCTGACATCATCTGACATCCTCAGGTTTCAGGATAACCTGAGGTCAGCTGCTCCCCTCCAGCTCCCGGTTATGGTAGCAATACTGTTGTTGCTTTTTTTTTTTTCTTAAAATATTGCTTATATGAGTTTGAGGTGGATTTCAGTCATTTTCTAATTAGAGAGACCTGACTAACATTTTGTTTGGATTATCAAACACTTTCTAAGTTGAATGTCTTCCTACAGTTATCTGAAAAAATATTTTCTTGCTAGTCTCAGACCACCTTTGAACTAAAACTTGTGATTCTTTCTAGTGATCTATAATTCTTTACCAGTTCAATGCTCGGTTTCTCATTGACTATTATTTGTAAAACTTTTAACATCTAAAAATATTTATTAATTCATTTAAATATTTATTAATAAAATGCTTCAGAAATAGACATGTTAATAGTTATATTTCCAAATTATAACATTATATTTTTCTTTTTTACAATGTTTTAAACTTTTATTTTAGTTTTGAGGGTACACGTAAAGGTTTGTTACATAGGTAAACATGTGTCATGGGGGTTTGTTGTACATATTATTTCATCACCCAAGTATTAAATCCGGTATCCAACAGTTATCTTTTCTACTTCTCTCCCTCCTCCCACTCTTCCTCAAAAAACTTGAATTCTTCACTCTTTCCTGAACGGACTGTAAGTTCAAAGTAATTTAAATAATAATGGATTATTATTTAATCAGATCATTATTGTTTCTTAGTGGACAACCAAATTAAATGAACCAAATTCCAAAGCTCATAGATAGAATGCTCTAAAATAAAACTATTGATAGAAGGAAAAACAAATATGATGTGATATCACCGAGTAAGATTTAATCGATCACACTACAAATTAAGACTACTGGTATTCATAAATCAGCAGTGAAAAATATCCTTCAAAATGATAAAGAATAATGCTCGAGAAAGTTTGTTTTTCTCCAGTGAATGCAAACTATTTTTATTTTTTTCATAGAAACTGATATATATAGTTTTAGAAAAGAAAATAAGGCCAGGAATGGTGGCTTATGCCTGTAATCCCAGTACTTTGGGAGGCTGGGTGGTCACCTGAGGTCAGGTGTTCAAGATCAGCCTGATCAACATGGTGAAACCCTGTCTTTACTAAAAATACAAAAAAATTAGCTGACAGTGGTGGTGGGCACCTGTAATCCCAGCTACTTGGGAGGCTGAGGCAGGAGAATTGCTTGAACCCAGGAGGTGGAGGGTACAGTGAGCCGAGATTGGACCATTGCACTCCAGCCTGGGTGATAGAGCAAGACTCTGTCTCAAAAAAAAAAATATATATATATATATATATATGTGTGTATATATAAATTTCAGGCGTTAATCATACATCAAATTACTTATGT